ATAAACAAATCTCCAACCGTTCAATAATAATTAAATATGAAAATTTGTCATAATTTAAAAAAATTAAATGAAAGTGTCACCATAACAATTTGACTTAATTATACAAATTCAAATTATTGCCAATTAAAAAAACCCACTATTTTTTTTTTGAATTTTAATTGGGGATTTCCTGTATGTCGGGCATCCTGAGAATGGTCGGGACTCGGTTACATCACAGATTCTGAATACCATAATCGTGGAGAGAAAAAGGAGGGAGAGAAAAGAGGGAAATCGGGCAAAAACCTAAGAAAAGCTCGAAGAAACTCCATGATTTGAACATGGAACAAAGATTTCGTACTTTAATTTGACAAAGTCGAGAAAAATCCCATTCTTCTTCTTTTTTCCAGTGAATGGGTAGATGGAGAGCAGCTGCTTCGCTTCTCTTCAACCACTTAGCCAAGACACCCTTCCCTTCTCAAAAATTCCTTACCCATTCTCTCCCTCTCAAAGGACGACCAAAACCTCTTTGTCTACCCCCTTCTCTAAACCCACCTCTTCGTTTTCTCTTTACAAGACCATTCTCCGCAATCCCATCTCAAGTTTCAGTTTATAGCAGCGATTCTGAGCATGGGTCGCCTGATTTTTTCCACCAGAATTATGGATTTGTTTCCCAAGAAGAAGAAGAGGAAACCGGGAAGATTCCGATCAAAGCTTATTTCCTTTGCACCAGGTTCGCTCTCCGATAATCAATGTTTCAGTTTTGAAGCTTGGGTGTTTCTGGGTATTGTGTTTTTAGTTCAGTGATATTCAAGATGAGATTTTTCTCTTCTTTTCATAGAAAAGAAGCTTGGATGTTTCTGGGTATTGTGTTTTTAGTTCAATGGACATTCAAGATGAGATTTTTTTTTCTTTTAAAAGAAAAAAGGCTTGTTTGATTTGTGCATTTGCTCTTGTTACCTGCTGGTTTATTTGGTTTTGCTTTTTTCTTGTTGGTGAGTTGGGTTTTCTCAGACTTATGGTGTTGGCAGTATCGATTTGAAGAGTATGCAAGCTGAGAATTTAAGCAACATTGTCCCTCCTTCTTCTCGTTCATCAAATTATATTGCCCTCAGATATTGTGATTTCCCTCCAGATATTACTGTAAGATGTTTAACAAACAATTTTGTTTTTTCAACTTCAATTAAACTTATTCTTACGTACTTATTCTATATAAGGGAGACGTTGCTTGATGTCATGTTCTTGATCATTGAGAAAAAGACTTTGCTGTCACTGAATTGTTAGACGGAATAGTTCCTAACAATAATCAGGTCTAAGGCTGACCTATGATAAAGAAGCTCTGTTCTCATTAGTTGGCATATGAGAGCATTTTTTGCCATGTTGAAATTTAAGTTTGGTTATGATCATTTCATTAGCACCCTCAGTTCATTCTTGGGTTACCATCATATTTAGTGTCCATTACATCTTTCTTGTCACCTGTATGTTAAATAAGCTACATATGTGGTGGTGTCTATTAAGAATGTTATTGAGTAGAGTAACATGTTTGGTTATGCTATTTCTTTGTGAGAAATCTGCGAAGTCTGCAAATAGCTTTTGATATTTGTTTGATTGAACAACATCGGTTCTACAACACCTCTCTCGCGTTAGGCACTTGGAATGAAGGACAAAGTCAGCAGCTGTCGTTACATGGTCATTTTTCAGTATGGGTCTGCTGTCTTGTTTAACATTGAGGACCATGAAGTTGAGAGCTACCTCGAAATAGTTCGGAGACATGCTTCTGGATTGCTTCCAGAAATGAGGAGAGATGGTAAATTTCTATAGAATCTTTTTCGTTCATTTTGGGGGTTGGGGTACATTTAGTGTCCTCTATTTTGTCAAATCTGATATAATTATGTGTGTGAAAATGTCTTTGTCTTACATTTATATCATCAGCTATGGTGATGCATTGAAACAGTGAAGGTTAGTGGCGTTGGAGGAGAGAGTGGACAAAACTGTAGGTCACATTCATTAGTTCTTTGGTTCAAACTGCACAAGCGACAGTCTAAACTATCTGCTTTAGCATGTTATGACTGCATGCTAAATCATATCTACCAATTAATACGAAGTTTATGATAAAAATATATGTTTATGTGGTAGGGATTTGTCCTATTTCTTCCATTTCCTTGTATAATGTTTCTCATAAGAACAGATATGGAATTAGATTATCCTGTGGCGTACATTCTTATCACAAACTAATTATCTGTTTTGTGTTTTTTATTTTTTGGATAAGATTATGCTGTCAAAGAGCAGCCACAGTTGGCTAAGGATATGCAGGGAGGACCAGACTATGTTGTTCTCAAAACTTTAGACACTGACAGTATCCGCATTATTGGAAGTGTTCTTGGTCAAAGCATTGCATTGGATTATTTTGTTTCACAGGTAATTCAATTAATTTGCATGAAGCATTTATTGTGTAAATACTTAGCAATTTACCAGTAAAGGTGTTTTTTTACATTTTCACTACCATACTTCTCATTCCAAAAGATTCCATGCTTGAAAAAGCCTTCATTCTGCAATGTATTGCCTATGGGGACTGAATATGGTCTCTCACTATCTCTCTCAGGTTGATGGTATGGTTGAAGAGTTTGCCGGTATAAATCGTGCAATGGAAAAGACTGGAACTTTCACAATGGATAGGACAAAGCTCATTAAACTTGTTGGGAAGGCTAATTCAAATTTGGCTGATGTAATTCTTAAAGTTGGTCTTTTTGAGAGGTAATATCTCTGATGCCGGTACTTGTTTGACATGATGCTTTAGCGTTCTTGACATGTTCAACTGTTTGTTATGAAGCACCTTGAATGTTGATCAAATCTGCTTATTTATAAGAAGGTTGCTTATGCTCAACAAACCTTTATTGCATGACTTCAACAAGGTGACAGTCTCATGGGGTGTTTAAAATGTCGATTCTCATTTGTGTCTCTTCAATGTGTTGACTTTCATTTTCTTTTAGGACTAACATCATTTATTATCTTATTGAGTTCTCTCTGTGCTATCCTTAGATCTGTATATTGGTGGATGTATATGTATGATTGCAAGATTCTTTGCATGTTAAGCTTGCAATAGGATGGATCTAGGAACAATTGACTATGGTAATGTTAAAATGTAGGCTGATGAAAGCAAGAGTGTACTAATTCAAATAATAAGAGTTGTAATTTGTGCAAATATGGTAAAGAGTAGGCCTTGTGTGGGTTACGTCTTCTGGAAACTCATTTGGTTGGTTGTGTTGGAATAAACTATTTAGTAATATTGGTCCAAATTGGACCAAATAGGCCTAGAGTTTTGAATCTGCAAGAGCTCTTGTAAAAGTTCATTAAAAAAATTCAAGGCTTTTTTCTGAAGTACATCTGCGGTTTTGCCCATTGGTGAGATAAGCTTGTTTAAGGCTTAGGTTAGCCAGCAAGCTTGAAAATGGTTCTCTTTGCCTAATGTTGCTTCTTGACTCTAGTGTCATTGAAGTTATTTCTTGTCTCCAGTAAGTTAAGAGTAGAACAGGCAACGTTCATTTCTTGTTAATTTTTAATCAATACATTTGAACAACTGAACATTAGATGCACGAGTTAGATTTATAAGCAAATGTCTAGCAGCACCTGATATTTGTTGATTTTTTTTCATTATCCAGATCAGAAATTGCTTGGAGAGAAGCAAAATATGCTCAAATACATGAGTACCTTCGGGAGGAGTATGAGGTTACGCAACGCTTTGGGAATCTGGATTTCAAGCTAAAATTTGTGGAGGTACCCATTTGCTTCATTTACACTCAATAGTAATTTGGTTCCTGTTGAATTTCGTAGAATTTCTTTTCAATACTTTAAAATGGTCATATGGGCATACTAGAAAGGGGACATAAACAAGATAACTACTTCAGGAACAAAATGAATGACTGAGAGGGCACTTGAATTTCGGGGATCTGAAGTTCTATAAACGGAAATTTATTATGAGTTTGGGTGTTAATAATTTATTCAAGAGGCTGAAATGCACAAAGGTGCAGCCCAAGTACACCTCCGTTAAAACAATAAATTATCTACCCATGTAGCAATCTCTAGTTTCTACACAGTCAAATTTAATGTTAGAGCTTTATGTGACCTAAAAGCTATTATTGCCATGGTAATATTTTTAATTGATTATAATAGAACTCCACATAATAGAACCAACTAATTAGGTATTTGTTCATTGCCATTTGGATTTAGCATTTGTTGCATGATGGTGGTGGTCTTGTGTGCTAAATGACATGGCATTTTCTTCCCAATGTAATAAACTTTAGGGTTCTAAATCGAAACTTTTATTTTGTTTGTTGCAGCATAACATTCATTTCCTTCAAGAAGTTATCCAAAATAGAAGGTCAGATCTCTTGGAATGGTGTATCATTTTCTTGTTGACTATTGAGAACGTAATAGCAATATATGAGATTGTCCGTGAATCAACTGGAGTTTCTCTTTGATCTGGTGAGCAGATGAGGAAGTTAGGATAGACAGATTGGTTACAGTAGTAAAAATCAAGCAATATATAACAGAAAAACAAAAGAAAGATCAATTTAACATCATGTATTCTTTCTCCACCAATTTTGAAACATCAATTATTTGTAATAATTCATCTGTCACTGCTACCAAGATACAGTTGCTGGTTTATATAGTAACTTTGTTTATGTATCAGCAAATCTTTGTATTTTTTGGCCAAAGTGCATCAGAAACTGAAAGCTTATAGCTTTTGAATTTATTGAAAGTAAAGGATGAATGATTACTGATACTACCAGTATAACTCCCAGAGCTTTTCAAGGAGTATACTGATATGGCAGTTGAGAAAGGG